CCAGTGGGATTTGGCCTTGGTTCTCGAAGCGCTATGTAAGTCGCCGTTCGAGCCATTGAATCAAATACCCCTCAAGATGCTGTCTATCAAGACGGCACTGTTGCTCGCCTTGACTACCGCTAAGCGTGTCAGTGATTTGTGTGCCCTGTCGACGAGACCCGACTGCCTTGCCATTAATGGCGATCTGAGCAGAGCGGTGTTACGTCCTAACCCGGCGTTTGTGCCGAAGGTTATTAGCAGTGCATATAGATCACAGACCGTGGAGTTGTGGGCTTTTTCTCCCCCTCCTCATGGGGAGAGGAGTGAGGAAAAGCTTCATTGTCTGTGCCCAGTGCGCGCTTTGGCGTGTTACGTTGAGCGCACAGCAGCGATTAGGTCATCGCCTCAGCTGTTTGTGTCACGGTGCGGCTGCATTAGGTAGACCACTTTCAAAACAGTGATTGTCTCACTGGCTTTGTGAAGGTATTGAGACAGCTTACGAGGCAGCGGGGCGACAACTGCCTCAGGGTATCAGAGCTCACTCCACTCGTGGAGTAGCAGCTTCTACTGCCCTCTTCAGAGGAACAGGGGTAGAGGATATTTGTAGAGCAGCGTCATGGTCGACACCGTCTCCATTTATCAGTTTCTATCTATTAGATGTCTTCTAACTCTTTGGCTCGATCTGTACTCAGCGTGGCTGAAGGAAGATCTTGAGCAAGAAGGAGAGGGAAAAAGCAGGACTGTGGACATGGGTGTCTATCAGGTCCGCTTTGGTTAGGAAGACATATTCTGTTTCTATCTATTAGATATGCCTTCTAACTCTTTGGCTCGATCTGTACTCAGCGTGGCTGAAAGGGGATTTTGAGCAAGAAAGAGAGGAGAAAAAGCAGGACTATGGACATGGGTGTTCATCAGGTCCGCTTTGGTTAGGAAGACATATTCTGGACAGATATGTTTTCTAACTCTTTGGCTCGGTCTGTACTCAGCAAAGCTGAAAGGAGATTTTGAGCCAGGAAGAGAGGATAAAGCAGGACTATGGGCAGGTTCCCATCAGGTCCGCTTTGGTTAAGAAAACATGTTTTTTGATAGACAGGCTTTGTATCTCTCTGGCTCGATTGTACTCGGCATAGCTGAAGGGGAATCTTGAGCTAGAGGAGAGAAAAGCAGGACGATGGACACAGGTCTCTATCAGGTCCGCTTTGGATGGAAAGCATATCTTGTGGCATGTCTCTTGACTGACAGGGTCAGTATAGTAGAGACATGTATTGAATTGACAGAATGTGAGGTCATCTATCTGATTATTCAGTTTAGTATGATTTATATTTTGTTCCTGCCTACTAATCTCTGGGATTCCATTGAGTGAGTGAGGTGGTCTACTGTGCACATAATGTAGAGTGACACTTGGTGTCATTCCATTAGTGGGCGGTAGTGTTTTCACAGGATATTGAGGCACAGCTATCTGCTAGTACAGATTAGTGTAGCTTCTATTCTGGTGATCTGCCCACTAGTCATTGGCATTGCCATTGAACTAGGTGGGGCGGGTCTTTAACCGATGACGCGGTATATTGTGACGCCCGGAGGGGTTTTTAGTTGCAGTACTGCGGGAATTGGTTGCGGCCATTGCTAGACTTGACCTTTTCATTTTTTAATGGGAAGTGTTAGGCTCGGCAGGGAGTACATTTTGGAGCGCTACGCTCCGCCTTAAACCACTAGGAGCAGAGCTCCCCTATGGGGCGGAGCTCCACGATATAGAACGATTAGTTACCGGAGTGTAACTCCAGGTTTCTGAGTGGAGGGAAGCCATGACTTAAGGCCCCGGCAGCCTCTCTAGTCTCGCGAAGATACAGTCTCGGGAGGCTGATTGAGAGGGACGTGTGTCCGTCTTTCCTCCGTGACACCTGTTGCTTCATCTGGCTGCGGGTGCTGAATAAATTGTGTCAGGTAGCGCCTTAGCAAGAGTGGGGCGCCGATAACTGGGAAGCGTCCCCGTTGGTACGGCCCTCCTGAACGGCATGGTTGAATCCACTAACCGAGACTGGGCTGCGATCGTTACGCCATTGCCATACGGTATCATCGTTTTTGACTGAGACTCAGCCTGCTAGAAGAGCAAGTGCCTACGATCCTTGAGTCTGTTGTCGGTTCTCTTTGAATAAACAAGACGTCTCAGTATTATTCCTCTTCACCTCCTTGTGCGTTACTCTGACCTATGTGGGCGAACTACACCATGGTGACGGCGCGTTCAGGAAAGGGGCGCCGATACACTGGACCTTCGTGACCGTGGTAATCGGGCCCTTCTTGAACGCAGCATGGGTCTGGGTCGTACTAACAGAGACCTTAGTCTGTGATAGTGCGCCAACCCCAATGTGGTTATTATCAGCGCGTTCTGAGAGAGACGGGGGCGCCGATACGTTGGTTACGCCCGTAACCGTAGTAATCAGGCCCTCCGTGAACGCAGCACGGGTCTGAACTGCACTGACTGAGGCGTTAGCCTGAGACAGAGCGCCGTCCCGAATAGCGGTCGCGTCATCATGCCATTATCTGGCTGAGACTGCAGCCTGCTATGTGAGACACTCACTACGGCACTCCTAGGAGTCTGTAAAGTGAGGTCTTTATAAGGTACACTTAATACCTTTTATATACCTGCCTTATGTGTGCATTCAGCAACGCACCATGGTGGGCTGAGCTGCACTCATAGTGGTAAGAGAGAGAGCGAGAGTGAGGAAGGTCGAACGCTCTCGGATGTATTATGGAAAAGGGGCTCTTTTTTGACAGTGTCAAGTAGAGCCAACTCTTTATTACACACATCAACAAAAAACATTCTCCTCCATACACTCAACGGTAGAGTGGGGGGGGACAGTGGGCTCGGTCACAGCAGGCGCTGTGCCGTCTTCCGTTCTCTCCCCCTCGCCTGTCATAAACGGCGTCTCTTCTGGCCGCCCTTCGGGTGATGCCAGGATGACGCTTTAATGACCTCTCTCGCCGGCACCTCTGGCGCTGCAGGGGGGGGCGAGGCCCGCTCCCTTGCCGCTGGAGAACGCCGTCTGACACCAAGTTGTAGCGAGAGTAACGGCCGCCCTTCATCATATCCACTTCCGGGTTGGAGGGAATGGGGGCAGCTTAATCTCCCACTGTTTAGCAGCCCACTCAATGAGATCTGAAAATTCAGAGCACAGAGAGGCTGTGGCGTCATCATTTACATTTTACATTTACATTTTAGTCATTTAGCAGACGCTCTTAACCAGAGCGACTTACAGGAGCATCATCCAGGGATGTAATGACCTCACAATTTCCTGAAGGAAAAGGGGTGTTAAACATCTGGGTCAGTGTAATGAATTGTTCCAATAGAATATTCATTTCTTCCCCAATAGCCCATGTATCGTGAGTCTCGCGGTGAGCCTCAGAGCTGGATGACCTTGTCATCCTATTATGCCCAAGCTGGGACACCTGGGGGTTCGTCCTGCATTAACCCAGGCTGACAGCCCCAGGGCAGCGTGAGCACGAAAGAGCTTTGTACAATAACCCATTGCTTGGTGTCAGGCTGGATTCAACGCGATCTGTAGCCTTCGATCTAGTCCGCTGAGATAAGGGGAGGCGATGAGAAGTTCCTTTATAGGGACACCTGTGCCTATTGCTGAGGTGGGATAATTTGCTCAGGCTGTTCTGCCTAGGGCAGAGGGTAAACCACTAGAGCAGAAGCTCCCCTATGGGGCGGAGCTCCACGATATAGAACTAATTGTTACTAAACTTGCTCTTGAAAACGCTCGTTATTTTACGACTGCATCAGACCACTCGTAGAACAGCTAAGTAGCCTACGTCGTTAATGTTTTTTCGCCCTTCCGCGTCACTTTATACACAGAAGATCTCATCTAAAAATCAAGGTGTGTCTGTCTTTCTGTGACCGATTACTTCAGACCGAATGTGACTACAAATACAAAATTGCCGATTTCTTTGCATAACAAGCGAAGGATATATAAAGACGCTTCAAATGAAAACCGAGATTAATAATATTATAGGCTAAATATATACAGTATAGCCTACGTAGACCTAAATATTTGAACTCAATTTAATGTTAATTCAATTGTTTTATTTAGCTATTTGTCTCCTGTCGTCAGAAATGTTTGCCTCGATATAGCCTATTTCATGATGTGTAACATGTGTGCAATGATGTGCCAAATCTTGATTTGACCTCACCCACACAGAGAACATTGGGCTTTAAAAGGAAATTATAAATTTAGACTGGAGCGTTTACATTTCTCTGGATGACAACACTTTACCACAGCACAATAAATGCACCCTGGCTGTGTTGTCAGTGATTACAGGCAGACATAAACATAACACTGAATTATAAAGAATTGACACAACTGGTATATTTAAACAAAGCTAATCAATTAATTTTAATTGGGAAGAGAAGCATGAGTATCTAAGGGCTCAGGATCACTGTGGACATATGCTGAACAGATGCAAATGTGTATCAGTCACAGGCAGGGGCGGCTGACATATGTGGTTAATAACATCCATTGCTTCTTGATTGGGAGGTTTCTCAAATGATGAAAAGAACATGCAAGGCAATTCTGTAAAGAAGTGAAGCCTGAAAGCAGTTGATCTTCATTCTTACTGGCAAATGTGCAGTTTAGTTGTCAAACTCGTTTCACAAAGCAGTACAGAAAGAGTGTTCATTTACTATATGATTGCAATGCAACATGAAGGTAGCATCACAGACCAAGGTTATATTATTCTTTGTGGCTTAGAGAAGTCCTCTAAATAACAGAGGCTTAGTCATGCTCTGATGACAGCTGCTATATCTTCAACAAAGATGTTGGGCAAACAGATATCATGCCAGCATTCTCTTTGAAAGCTGCATATTACAGTGCCTCTGTTGAAAATTCTGAAAGAGAACACTGCTATAGGTGCAGAGCTGTCAAATACTGTACAATTCCTACTTTTCCCACCATTTAAGAACCAAGATGAAAACAAATGCAAAAAGTCAACCACTCATGATGCCTCATAGCAATGGATCTGAATTTCTTTTAGCATCAAATCAGGGTGGACAATTTATTTTCAAAATTGTTTATCATTACACAGCTGTGGGAAGTAGAAGCAATTACAATTAAAAAATAAGTGTCATGTTTTACAATAAACTGTCCAAAAATCAGTCTGTACATCTAAGAAATACAAAAAATAAATGTGCACAAGTCGAAATAACTGAACCAAGGGTAAACAAAACTATTAAAAAAAAAAAAAAACGTTTAACTACGAGTTCAATGAAACTGCACCAGAGTATTTCAAAAGCAGTTCTATAACCATTAATAAAAACGGAATCATAAATTAATTTTAAAAATCAAATCCTGCACTAAATGGAAAATTCAAATTGCTGTCTTTCAGTAGGGTCGGTCTCTGCGTTCCTGGCGATGGTCCCTATGAGAGAGAAAGAGCAATCATTTAGTGTCCAACAAACATACATAAAGTAAGTAATACATGAGTATGATGAAAGCAGTCCAACATGTTCCTTTACCTCATATCCATCTTGCCTGGGGGCCCCCCCATTCCTCCTCTACCCATTCCTCTTCCTCGGTCCATAGGCGGTCCTCCCCTGCTAGCCCCTCGGAATCCCCCTCGGTCCATTCCACCCCGTCCCCTGAATCCACCACCACCTCCCCATCCTCCACGGAAGCCTCCAGGACCACCAGGCCCGCCACGGTCCATCCCTCTGCCCCCACGCATCCCCATTCCACCCCTGCCTCGCTCACCACCTGAACAAAAATCACACAAGACCCAGTTAAGCTTGCCACCAGACTATCGTAGACATACACACGTTAACAGGAAGGGAAACATGAGATTATTAAACATAAGTAGTATTCCCAGTGCACACAGAGCAAGCCCCTCCAACACCAAAGCTTTCAATTACAGTAAACAGACTGCTGCACATGGATGGTTTCATGTTTCCCCAGTATTGACACTAAACTATACAGAACAAAAATAAATACAACAATTTCTAAGATTTTACTGAGTTACAGTTCATATAAAGGAAATCAGCCAATTGCAATAAATGAATTGGGCCTAATTTATGGATTTCACATGACTGGGCTGGGGCATAGCCATGGGTTGGCCTGGGAGGATATAGGCCCACCCACTAGGGAGCCCAGCCAATCAGAATGAGTTTTTCCCCAAAAAAGGGATTTATTACAGACAAATCCTCCTCAGCACCCCCTCTCCATCAATCCCACAGGTGAAGAAGCCGGATGTGGAGGTCCTGGGCTGGGGTGGTTATACGTGGTCTGCGATTTTGAGGCCGGTTACACGTACGGCCGAATTCTATGGAACATTCAATTCTCTGGCAACAGCTCTGGTGGACATTCCTGCAGTCAGCATGCCAATTGCAAGCTTCCTCAAAACTTGAGACATCTGTGGCATTGTGTTGTGCAACAAAACTGCACATTTTAAAAGTGGCCTTTTATTGTCCCCAGCACCTGTGTCATGATCATACGGTTTAATCAGCTTCTTGACATGCTACACCTGTCAGATAGATGGATTATCTTAGCAAAGGAGAAATGCTCACTAACAGGTATTAACAAATTTGACAGAAATAAGGTTTTTGTGCGTATGGATCATTTCTGGGATTTTTTAGTTTCAGCTCATGAAACATGGGACCAACACTTTACATGTTGCGTTTATATTTTTGTTCAGAGTAGTACAACCGCTAAGCATGGACCCTGAAGTCAAGGTGATAAACCTGTTTTTGTTTGATTTGGCTGTGTTTACATTGCAAACATTAAGATACATGTGAAACAGGGAAGGTAATTAAGCCCTTGTTGCTCAAATAACACAAATTGTTATAATGGTTCCTGTCTACAGTTGAACCAGGCCCTAACAATAATGCTGCTGTGCCAGTGACAGCTGTACCTGAAGGGGGCCCAAAGCCATCTGGTTTGGGAGCTTTGCACTGGTTACACTCCATCCTCCAGGAAAAGTTCTGGTTGCCACAGCCCCTGAGAAGGACAACCATTCAGTGATATACACAAAAACCACTAACTGTACTGTAACTTAATTTTAAAAAAGTGGAAAGCTCTTTCTTGAGAGGTCCTTACTGGTTGGGGCACTCCCAGTCTCCAGCTCTCTGCTGCATGTTGCCACCTGGGCCACCTGGCCCACCTCTGCCCATACCATGTGGTCCTCCTCGTGGGACAAAACCTCCACGCTCTCCTCCACGGCCCATCATGCCTGATAACACACACCAGGGGTTGTTTCAATATTTCATTATATTTTCATGGCAAATGTGGGGCAACTACAGTTGAAGTCTGAAGTTTACATACACTTAGGTTGGAGTCATTAAAACTCGTTTTTCAACCACTGCACAAATTTCTTGTTAACAAACTATAGTTTTGGCAAGTCGGTTAGGACATCTACTTTGTGCATGACACAAGTAATTTTTCCAACAATTGTTTAGACAGATTATTTCACTTATAATTCACTGTATCACAATTCCAGTGGGTCAGAAGTTTACATACACTAAGTTGACTGTGCCTTTAAACAGCTTAGACAATTCCAGAAAATGATGTCATGGCTTTAGAAGCTTCTGATAGGCTAATTGACATCATTTGATTCAATTGGAGGTGTACCTGTGGATGTATTTCAAGGCCTACCTTCAAACTCAGTGCCTCTTTGCTTGACATCATGGGAAAATCAAAAGAAATCAACCAAGACCTCAGATAAAAAATTGTAGACCTCCACAAGTCTGGTTCATCCTTGGGAGCAATTTCCAAACGCCTGAAGGCAGCACGTTCATCTGTACAAACAATAGTACGCAAGTATAAACACCATGGGACCACGCAGCCGTCATACCGCTCAGGAAGGAGACGCGTTCTGTCTCCTAGAGATGAACGTACTTTGGTGCAAAAAGTGCAAATCAATCCCAGAACAGCAGCAAAGGACCTTGTGAAGATGCTGGAGGAAGCAGGTACAAAAGTATCTATATCCACAGTAAAATGAGTCCTATATCGACATAACCTGAAAGGCCGCTCAGCAAGGAAGAAGCCACTGCTCCAAAACCGCCATAAAAAAGCCAGACTACGGTTTGCAACTGCACATGGGGACAAAGATCGTACTTGTTGGAGACATTTCCTCTGGTCTGATGAAACAAAAATAGAACTGTTTGGCCATAATGACCATCGTTATGTTCGGAGGAAAAAGGGGGATGGCGTGCCAAGCCGAAGAACACCATCCCAACCGTGAAGCACGGGGGTGGCAGCATCATGCTGTGGGGGTGTATGAAAAATGTATGCACTCACTACCTGTAAGTCACTCTGGATAAGAGCGTCTGCTAAATGACTAAAATGTAAATGTAAATGTGCTTTGCTGCAGGAGGGTCTGGTGCACGTCACAAAATAGATGGCATCATGAGGAAGGAAAATTATGTGGATATATTGAAGCAACATCTCAAGACATCAGTCAGGAAGTTAAAGCTTGGTCACAAATGGGTCTTCCTAATGGACAATGACCCCAAGCATACTTCCAAAGTTGTGGCAAAATGGCTTAAGGACAACAAAGTCAAGGTATTGGCGTGGCCATCACAAAGCCCTGACCTCAATCCTATAGAAAATGTGTGGGCAGAACTGAAAAAGCATGTGCGAGCAAGGAGGCCAACAAACCTGACTCAGTTACACCAGCTCTGTCAGGAGGAATGGGCCAAAATTCACCCAACTTATTGTGGGAAGCTTGTGGAAGGCTACCCGAAACGTTTGACCCAAGTTAAACAATTTAAAAGGCAATGCTACCAAATACTAATTGAGTGTATGTAAACTTCTGACCCACTGGGAATGTGATGAAAGAAATAAAAGCTGAAATTGTGAAAAACTGAGTTTAAATGTATTTGGCTAAGGTGTATGTAAACTTCCGACTTCAACTGTATATATACTGAACAAAAATATAAAACGCAACATGTAAAGTGTTGGTCCCATGTTTCATGAGGTGAAATAAAATATCCTAGAAATGTTCCATATGCACAAAAAGTTCTCAAATTTTGTGCACAAATTTGTTTACATCCCTGTTAGTGAGCATTTCTCCTTTGCCAAGACAATCCATCCACCTGACAGGTGTGGCATACCAATAAGCTGATTAAACAGCATGATCATTACACAGGTGCACCTTGCGCTGGGGAAAATAAAAGGCCACTAAAATGTGCAGTTGTGTTACAATACAATGCCACAGATGTCTCAAGTTGAGGAAGCGTGCAATTGGCATGCTGACTGCAGGAATGTCCACCAGAGCTGTTCCCAGTTAATTGAATGTTCATTTCTCTACCATAAGCCGCCTCCAATGTCGTTTTGGAGAATTTGGCAGTACGTCCAACCGGCATCACAACCACACCAGCCCAGGACTTCCACATCTGGCTTCTTCATCTGCGGGATCGTCTGAGACCAGCCACCCGGACAGCTGATGAAACTGAGTTTGCACAACCGAAGAATTTCTGCACAAACTGTCAGAAACAGTCTCAGGGATGCTCATCTGCGTGCTCGTCGTCCTCATCAGGGTCTTGACCTGTCTGCAGTTCGGCGTCGTAACCGAATTCAGTGGGCAAATGTTCACTGGCACGCTGGAGAAGTGTGCTCTTCACAGATGAATCACGGTTTCAACTGTACAGATTTGCTGATGTCAACATTGTGAACACAGTGCCCCATGGTGGCGGTGGGGTTATGGTATGGGCAGGCATAAGCTACGGGCAATGAACACAATTGCATTTTATCGATGGCAATTTGAATGCACAGAGATACCGTGACGAGATCCTGAGGCCCATTGTTGTGCCATTCATCCGCCACCATCACCTCATGTTTCAGCATGATAATGCACGGCCCCATGTCGCAAGCATCTGTACACAATTTCTGGATGTCCCAGTTCTTCCATGGCCTGCATACTCACCAGACATGTCACCCATTGAGCATGTTTGGGACGCTCTGGATCGACGTGTACGACTGTGTGTTCCAGTTCCCACCAATATCCAGCAACTTCGCAAAGCCATTGAAGAGGAGTGGGACAACATTCCACAATAAACAGCCTGATCAACTCTATGCGAAGGAGATGTGTTGTGCTGCATGAAGCAAATGGTGGTCACACCAGATCCTGACTGGTTTTCTGATCCATGTTCCTACCTTTAAGGCATCTGTGACCAGCAGCTGCATATCTGTATTCCCAGTTATGTGAAATGCATAGATTAGGGCTTAATGAATTTATTTCAATTGACCAATTTCCTTATATGAACTGTAACTCAGTAAAATCTTTGAAATTGTTACATGTTGCATTTATATTTTTGTTCAGTGCATTTTCAGTTTTGAACCAGTGTCAATCTCACAAACAAACAGTTGACTTAAATATACCTCCAGGTCCTCCACGGCCCATCATGTCACCCCTCATGGGCATGCCCCCTCTCATTCCACCCATCATGGGCTTACGGCGAGCCATGGACACCTTCAGCCTCCTGCCCTGGTACTCTTTCCCTGTGGAGGTCAGGAACAGAACGTAACAGGAATAAAGAGAAATGGAGAGAGAGAAAAAGACATGAGTTAATGGTTATTACTAGTATTCTAAAGTACATTTCAGTGCACATCAACACAAGTCCTGCTATGCATGGTTCAAGAGTAGAACCAGAGAGTAGGCTGATGCAGGTTAAAAAGGGCCAGTGAGACCTACCATCAAATAACTCTACAGCAGCTTTGGCAAAGGCGGGCTCCTCGTAGGACAGTGTGGCGTCTCCCTTGGGCTTCCCTGAATCATTGTCTGTGTAGATGTTGATGGCAGGCTTGCCCAACCTCCGGTTCATCTGAACAATAAAAGAGGAATTAATCACTCAAAAGTCAACCTACCACACCATTGACAGTTATCTGCAGTTGCCATTATTTTTGAGAGCATTCATTAACTGTTCAGTCCTCTAATTAAATGAGAACAAGACAACAAAAACATTGGCCATATAATACACTGATCAAAAATATAAATGCAACATGTAAAGTGTTGGTCCTATGTTTCAGGAGCTGAAATAAAAGATTCCAGAAATGTTCCCTACGCACAAAAAAGCAAATTTCTCTCAAATTTTGTGCACAAATTTGTTTACATCCCTGTTAGTGAGCATTTCTCCTTTGCCAAGATAATTAATCCACCTGACAGGTGTGGCATATCAAGGAGCTGATTAAACAGCATGATCATTACACAGGTGCACCTTGCGCTGTGGACAATAAAAGGCCACTCTAAACTGCGCAGTTGTGTCACAACACAATGCCAGAGATGTCTCAAGTTGAGGGAGCGTGCAATTGGCATGCTGACTGCAGGAATGTCCACCAGAGCTGTTGCCAGATAATTGAATGTTCATTTCTCTACCATAAGCCGCCTCCAACGTCGTTTTAGAGAATTTGGCAGTATGTCCAACCGGCCTCAGAACCGCAGACCACGTGTAACCATGCCAGCCCAGGACCTCCACATCCGGCGGCTTCACCTGCGGGATCGTCTGAGACCAGCCACCCGGACAGCTGATGAAACTGTGGGTTTGCAAAACCGAATAATTTCTGCACAAACTGTCAGAAACCGTCTCAGGGAAGCTCATCTGCGTGCTTGTCGTCCTCACCAGGGTCTTGACCTGACTGCAGTTCGGCATCGTAACCGACTTCAGTGGGCAAATGCTCACCTTCTACGGCCACTGGCACGCTGGAGAAGTATGCTCTTCACAGATTAATCCCGGTTTCAACTGTACCGGGCAGATAGCGTGTGGGCGAGCGGTTTGCTGATCAATGTTGTGAACAGAGTGCCCCATGGTGGCGGTGGGGTTATGGTATGGGCAGGTATAAACTACGGACAACGAACACAATAGCATTTTATCGATGGCAATTTGAATGCACAGAGATACCGTGACGAGAGCCTGAGGCCCATTGTTGTGCCATTCACCCGCCGCCATCGCCTCATGTTTCAGCATGATAATGTACGACAGCGGGTTCCAGTTCCCGCCAATGTCGAGCAACTTCGCACAGCCATTGAAGAGGAGTGGGACAATATTCCACAGGCCACAATCAACAACAGCCTGATCAACCGTATGTGAAGGATATGTGTCGCGCTGCATGAGACAAATGGTGGTCACACCAGATACTGACTGGTTTTCTGATCAATGCCCATCTTTTCTTCAAGGTACAGTATCTGTGACCAACAGATGCATATCTGTATTCCCAGTCATGTGAAATCCATAGATTAGGGCGTAATGAATTTATTTCAATAGATAGATTCTTATATGAACTGTAACTCAGTATAATCTTTGAAATTGTTGCATTAATATTTTTTTCCCAGTGTACATCAGCATGTTTTGGAAGAGACAAATACAACCTAATGCGTGTCTAAATTGAGGTCCTTAGATTGAGAGATTGTACTCACCCTGATGGGTCCAGGGTCTTTGAAGAAGATAGCCATCTCCTCCAGAGTGGCGTTCTCTGTGAGTCCTGTGATGTAGATGGTGCTGTTCTCAGAGTCATCCTGCTCCTCAGGGCGCCCTAAACAGATAGAGAACTACCGTTAAAAAATTGACAGAAAACACTACAGCTACACTTCCACTGCACTGTCCTTATTCATCTCAGATTCATAGCATAAGCCATTAAACTGGACCAAGATCAATGCAATAAAGCCTTGCAGGCAGATGCAAACCTACCAAACCAGTAAGATAAACGTAAAAGGTTAGCAGTTGATCCTCCAATGCATCTGATCTATGATATAAGTGTTGGTCATTTAGTATCTGCTTACCCATGTTACGCACTGCTCCGTTGTTCATGGGTCCTGTTGTCCATCAGGCGAGGGGGAGAGAAAAAAGGCAAAGAAGTCAGTTTGTGCCACTCAAGTCCACTGCTAAACTGCTGAAGAGTATTTGAAGTGATAATACAGACACACTCCTCCAGAACACAGGCGTCAGACATTTTGGAAAATTGAAAATATATTGATCATGATGTAAATAAAAACCTCAGACCCTTTTGTATAAAAATGTGTGCCATAAGAAAAGTTCCTAAGAAACCACATAATAATCTTCCCAAAAAATACCAGGGGTTTGGCGCCATGAAATTGTAAATGCAAAAACCATTTTTCAAAACTGACATTTCTTAGCAGCAGTCATTTGTCATTAACTTGTCATTGTGAAATAAGAGTACCTTGCTTTTCAAGGTTACCTTAGGCAGTGAGTGATATAAACCAGAGTAAAAAGTACCCCTTTCCAAACAGATGTCTCAGACATTTAAACTGGATCCCCCTCTATTTCCATCCATTCTAATAGCCACCTACATATTTGGCTACCCCAAAAAGAATGCTGCGCACACCAATGTAAGGGCTTAGGTAAATGCTCAGCGCGTACATGCTCTAGTAGGTAAAGGTCTAGAGTGGACTAGCCAGTGTAATACTCGTTAACTTACCACCGGGCTTATTGAAGCCACCTCTGTCTCCAGCGACGCTATGGGGGAATAAATGGAGATATGAAGGCGATATCCCTTTTAACAGCCACTTCCATGCATGGAGCCCCATGGCTCGTTTGGGGAGGTTCAAGGAAACATTTCTGACTAGTTCATTTAACAACCCCCAACATGCCTATACAGTCTATGCAATCCAGTTAATGGGAATGAAGGAATTAACAGCAACTATATGGCATCATTCCTTTACTAGAAGGCTTCTTAACGACAGCATTTGATAGCAGATACTGGCTAGTTTGGAGCTAGCTGAGGGGTGTTAAAACTCAATTACCTTTGGGGAAATATGGGTCAGAATCCCAGGAATTTGTTACAAAGGAAAACCTCTAGATGCATTCCATATGTAGTTTAATAATGGCTAGCCTGGAGATACTATACTGACAAGATATAACTTACAGTTAAATATGTGGAAGGCTAGTGTATTATGTCCACTTTACAGTTGGAAGCAAATGGCTATACGAGTTAAAACAAATGATTTAAGTTGTCAAATGCAAAGCATCTGAAATATTACAAAACAAAAACAGGTGATTACAGTCACCTTTGAAATTAAAACCAAAAACACACCATCCATGTACATTCTTTTACAAAAACATGAATTGAAGTTACACAATTCTAATAAATACAGAATTTAACTTGACCTTGTGACAATGTTCACCAAGGTAAAAGTAATAATACAATTTGTATAGTATAATCATAATTTTAAAAAGTTTCCCAGCACGCATTAGACAGCACCATCCTCATCTCTTGGATTTAAGGCAGAACCCAAATCTCTGTGGTTTAACCCCTTCGGTTGTTTAAGCTGCCGGCTCTGTATTGAGTACAGGTACTTTATAGAATATAGATGGTTTACATGGCTCTCACTGTGTTACCTGTAGCGTAAATGTGACAAAGCATGTTAAAAAGGTGTTCATTTGATTAAACAACATTTGTAATCCAAACCACATTTAAAAAACAAATAAAGGCTGGTTTCCCCAGACACAGATTAAGCTTAGTCCAAAGACTAAAAAGCATTCTGAGCATTTTTTTTAGTCAAGGACTAGGCTTACTCTGGGAAACCGGACCCAAAACATTTTGCCCTAAAAGCTATACTGTATGAAAGTAAAAGCAGGAGTTACATATGACTATAAAAAATAAATAAAAAGACTAGGGTTGCGATATAGCCTACTTTCAACTTTAAAACAGGACAAAATCAATAACATTATCTAATTGAGGGTAAGAAATGTCACAAATGTCCTGTAATTAATAAAATATTGTGCTGTAGACAAAGGGGGAATTATTCACGTTGATCATCCCTTTAGGGCAAATACACAGCCATGTACTGAATAACATTCTAATATAATGTAAGCCTAGGGCAAAACATAATTGAACATATGAGTCTGGTGTGACCTAGTGAACACGTGATCCTTTTTTTGTTTTCTTGTTACAGGGATATTACCTTGAGCTGTCTGTTACTCAATGGAATCAACCTCACCACAAACTCTACAATTAAAATATAGGTGCCATCATAATGCCCAGAAAGCTTTAACAAAACATGAAAGGCTCCAGGTTGCCAGTATAGTACCACCAGCCTATAAGGGGGATAACTTTAGTTCTGCATGGATGTATCCTGTAGAAATGTACTTTATTGGTTTTCCAGGAAAAAACTCCAAACCCCAAATGTGCATTGACCTCAACTTAGTATGCAAATAAATTCCTTGGTATAGGCAATCAATGTGTCTTGCTTATTAAACAAATGTAGGTTATTTTAGAAGATCTGCCCCTGGGGGTCGTGAGGCAAAAAACACCCCCCGAAATATTGTCCAGAAATTAGCTAATTGGACAGAAAGGGGCACACCTCCCAACACCAATGAGAAAAAGCTTGTCTTGTTTTGCAAAGTTTTGTTAGCTTAAAGCTAAGGATTTTGTGGTTTCAAGAGTTAAGTAATCGCTTAATATGAAATAATACTGTTATATATAGTCAACACAAGCCAAATTATGAGGTAATCAGTTAGCAACTAAACTTCCATAGTGCATACTCCCAAATACCTTCTGGGTCAGCTTTTTAAAATGAAAACCAGAGGATGGATTAAATAGGTACCTTTTTATACCATCTTAAAACGTTTTTAACCGCAGAGCAATCATTTAAAAAGGTGCGGTGTGCCCACCAAATCATTGAAACCCACAGCAGTGACCCTGAAGCCTTGTAAATAGATGGACCATAATCAATGCTATAGATTATATACACCTGTAAAGCTGCGGTACAGCAAAAAGGGGTATCCGATTGAAAAGTTTAAAACTCCAGCTTTCTGTTCACGAATGTCAGTCCCAGCTCTTTGATTCATGAAAACATATTCCCTTCTTACCTTTGGCCACTGTATGGCAGGGCTAAGAGTTTGTACCCACTAATGGAGGGTCCCTTCATGATACTTTTTGTAGGCATTAGATATTTGATCCTACACGAAAGTAAACAGTTTGACTGTCCCCACTAATAAAAGAGATATCTATTTTACTTTTGTAGGGTTATAACTTCACCCAATTAATGTTTTAGGGAAACTTTAGACTCAGCCCTGCTCAGCCTGGCCGCAGCACCTGCAAGAGTGGATGGAAGTTAAGTTGAGCAATAAGGAGAGTGACTTACCCCATGCCTCCACGGCCCATGCCCCCACGTCCCCTGCCACCGTGCATCATGCCGCCCCTGTCATAGCCATCCCTGGGGGGCCCACGGCTCTCCCCTGCCCCTGGGAACCTAGCAGGCTCAGAGCCAGAGTAGCCAGAGCTGCCTCTGCCCTCCTGTCCATAGTTATCTACAGAATAACATGAGGATTAGCATAAATGCCCTTGTGTGAAAAGGAAGGAACATCAACATGACTATGACAATAACTAGCAGGTAGGCATATTGCAATGCTCATGTGTGTGTGTTAAAAAAACAGGGGAGACTGCTGCTCTTACTGTAATGGCTTGACTGGTTGTAACCACTTTGAGGTCCACTTTGTTGTCCATACTGGCTGCCTGCAGGCTGCCCGTAGGAGCCTGAGGCCTGAGGGGGGTAGGCCGCGGCAGGGGCCTGTTGCTGCTGAGGTGGGGGCTGCTGCTGCTGGTACCCACTCTGCTGCTGCCCATAGCTTCCCTGCTGGGCCTGGTACCCACTCTGCTGCGCAGCATATCCCCCTGGCTGGGAGTAGCTGCTCTGGCTGTAGCCAGCAGGCTGGCTGCTGGGATTATAACTGAAGTAATTAGGGACAGGCAGGGATTGATCAGGTCATAAAAAGCGCTACAACTATTTCTACACACTAGATGATTCTTATGGGTTGACAGCTGCAACTGGTCTTCCACTGTGTACAAACTAAAATCAACAAACATCAACAAAATAAAGTGTAACATTCACTGTATCACTACCTCCATTACACCCTGGTCCTAATGTGAGACTACTTAGCCTACCTCTGAGGTGCAGTGGAGGCAGGCTGCTGGCTGTAGCCAGCGTAGGCAGACTGGGCTGCATAGCCTGGCTGGGAGCCATAGGAGGGCTGAGAGGCAGCAGGAGCAGCAGCAGGAGCGCTCTCATATCCACTGGCTCCATAGCCCGTGGCAGGCTGGGAGTAGCCATGGGCACTAGGCTGGGCAGCAGGGTACCCAGCTGTGGTCAAACAGGAGACAGTTAAAAAGGCGTAGATTGATCATTCCAGGTACAACCCGGTTAGGATTTTAGTCCAGAACTGCCCAAATGAATGAAGCAATCTGTTCCTTATTTGGATCACACTATAACCCACTCTGGACCGAGGACTTATAAAACTTGACAGTGAGGAGCACTGATGAAGAATATTAATGGCACAGAAGAATACAATTGTGTTATTAGAAGTGTGTTAGAATTAGTGTTAAATATTGTTAGATGAAATGAATACTATTATGAAGGGTCTATTGTCTTGTATTAGTAAGATGTAGTAAATAGGGTCAAATAAATCTATCATGTCCAGGGTTCAACTAGTCTACTCACAATACTAGTCTACTACACATGATGCTAAATATATTACATGGATCTATCCATCAAGCCATTGAAGACTTTGTATAGACTTAGCCTAAGTGGCATGAAATGGATAGAGATGTAAGAAAAGTAATCTGTGTCGAACCTGTTTTATTCCCAGCTGTAACATGATAGCAATAGAGGAGAAAAGGTTCACAGTTCAAAAAAAGGTGACTTGGGTTGAAAATTGTCCTTTAAGGTCCTCAAAACACATTCGCAGTAATATAAATACAGGATTGACATTACATGTGGTCACTGGTTAGAGGCATTTGATGGACAATTCTCATTCCCTTCCCCCAAAACTACTCTTGGCCAATCATTTTGGTCCATTTGAAACTGACCTGGTGCTGGTTGCCCATAGGAGGAACCATACTGCTGCGCATAGCCGCCAGCAGAGGGTGCTGCCTGAGAGTATCCGGTCTCAGCTGCAGCAGGCTGGGCGTAGGACCCATATCCTTGCTGGCTATAACCCTGCTGAAATACAAAAGATTCTTATATAGACCAATATATAATGACAAGTACCTTGGGCAAGCAGGCAAGTTTTCCTGTGCTTAAGTTCAAGCTGTATGCAAACATGGAATGCGATCAAGGAAGTATTGTGAGTCTCTTACCAGCATTCCAGATTGCGTAATTCATAAATGGCCTTGTCTAAATATAAAACTCACCTGGGCAGATTGTCCATAGCCCTGTGAGGGCTGAGCAGCATAGGAGCCATACCTGCAGGGACACAAGATCAATCATTCAGTATAAATCGTGTTTCTGTAGATCATAATTAATTGTACCAACTTACACAAACACCCATTCCGCTGCATTAATTAGAATACTCTTATCTTAGTAGCGCACACAACCTGTATGTAGAAAGACTTACCCCTGCTGGGCACTGGCCTGGCTGTAGGAACTGTAATCTGTTAAAGAAAATGACAAAATAAATGACTAGTCTAACATTCAACAACAACAGTCCTAGTAGCTAGTACAGTATCAAATTCAGCTTTGGACTTGTTAGAAAAACTACTCATGTTCACTGGGCAATAATCTTGTGTAAACCTTTGGCAGTGCCAACCAGGCCAGGGCACACAATGGAAAGTCTTTCAAGTTCAACAGTCCTTGAAAAGAGACAAAGCATTCCTGCTATTCACTCTAGCAAGAACTGACTAGAGACCGTTGTTATGTTGTGGGGGCCATCCCGCCTTTGCTTGCATAACTAACGTTGTGGTAGTTGGCTAGCTAGCTACCTTAAAAAAAACTAGCTACACATTTTAATTGGCCCACAAAGACACAAATGTGGCTAGATTAGCAAGGCCGCATGGAAAGGCATACACTAGCACAAAGAGAACCTATTAAATTACTAGAGGGGCTATATCAAACCCTAAAAGTTCCAGAATGGGGCGAAAACAGCACCAGATGACAAAGGTTAAGACAACAGGATTCTAATATCCCATAACTCTTTGCAACAATGGGACCAGCTATGCTAGTTAGCAATGGCGCTGATCCCAGATCTGTATATTTTCGACCTAGACCCATATCTAGGTGGAAGATGGGAATGTTAAGACAACGGTGTCACAATAATGTGGAGGTTCTACTGCTCTGAAACAACCATGGGACCAGCTCAAGCATTGTAGCTAATGCTGCCTAGGCAGAAGGCAAGCGGTCTGAAGCAGATCATAAGATTGGCGAAAAAAATTACATTTTAGGCTAATGCCAGAAAAAGACAACTGCCAGCTAGCTAACGTCTAGGTTGAAGATTATAAGGTTAAGACAACAGGGTTCTAATATGCCATAACCCTTTGCAATTCAAGGGACCAGCGTCGCTAGTTAGCAACGGTGCTAGTAGTTATATATTTATGCACACACAACTCATTTCAATTAACAGGTGTGCCTTCTTAAAAGTTAATTTGTGGAATTTCTTTCCTTCTTAATGCGTTTGAGCCAATCAGTTGTGTTGTGATATACAGAAGATAGCCCTATTTGGTAAAAGACCAAGTCCATATTATGGCAAGAACAGCTCAAATAAGCAAAGAGAAACGACAGTCCATCATTACTTTAAGACATGAAGGTCAGTCAATCCGGAAAATCAAGAACTTTTAACATTTCTTCAAGCGCAGACGCAAAAACCATCAAGCGCTATGATGAAGCTGGCTCTCATGAGGACCGCCACAGGAAAGGAAGACCCAGTGTTACCTCAGCTGCAGAGGATACGTTCATTAGTTACCAGCCTCAGAAATTGCAGCCCAAATAAATGCTTCAGAGTTCAAGTAACAGACACATCTAAACATCAACTGTTCAGAGGAGACTGCATGAATCAGGCATTCATGGTCAAATTTCTGCAAAGAAACCACTACTAAAGGACACCAATAAGATGAAGAGACTTGCTTGGGCCAAGATACACAAGCAATGGACATTAGACTGGTGGAAATCTGTCCTTTGGTCTGATGAGTCCAAAGTGGAGATTTTTGGTTCCAACAACCGTGTCTTTGTGAGACGCCAAGTAGGTGAACGGATGTGTGGTTCCCACCGTGAAGCATGGAGGAGATGGTGCTTTGCTGGTGACACTGTCAGTGATTTATTTAGAATTCAAGGCACACTTGACCAGCATGGCTACCACAGCATTCTGCAGCGATATGCCATCCCATCTGGTTTGCGCTTAGTGGGACTATCATTTGTTTTTCAATCGAAGACAATGACCCAACACAACTCCAGGCTGTGTAAAGGCTATTTGACCAAGAAGGAGAGTGATGAAGTGCTGCATCAGATGACCTGGCCTCCACAATCACCGGACCTCAACCCAATTGAGATAGTTTGGGATGAGTTGGACAGCAGAGTGAAGGAAAAGCAGCCAACAAGTGCTCAGCATATGTGGGATCTCCTTCAAGACTGTTGGAAACGCATTCCAGGTGACTACCTCATGAAGCTGGTTGAGAGAATGCCAAGAGTGTGCAAAGCTGTCATCAAGGCAAAGGGTGGCTACTTTGAAGAATCTCAAATATATTTTGATTTGTTTAACACTTTTTCGGTTACTACATGATTCCATATGTGTTATTTCATAGTTTTGATGTCTTCACTATTATTCTACTATGTAGAAAATAGTAAAAATAAAGATAAACCCTTGAATGAGTAGGTGTGTCCAAACTTTTGACTGGTACTTAGATATCTTTTTTCTTTACACTCCAGATCACAGCTGAGGGGAGAACGGCTCATAATAATGGCTGGAACAGAGGAAATGGAATGGCATCGGCATCAAACACCTGGAAACCATGTGTTTGATACCATTACACTCATTCCGCTCCAGATACAAACTTATACACACAAACAATGACTACATCTCATCTGCCCAGACCCGCACTCTCACACCCCCATCCTTAGAGCCTGCATTATTGTTTGCCACTTGGCCTTAATTTGTACCAATTTGTTTTTCCTCAGTCACCCATGCTATTTCAATAATAAATCATTAGATTTTTCCATTGTGTCAATGATAGTGGATTGATTGACTTCCAAGTTTTTTGTACACGTTTTTTTCCAAGATGAATGATGAGAAGAGAATCATCCAGCCCATTGGGTATCTCACTACACCCCTATATACCATGTCTTGAAATATGCAGACAGGCAGATTAAAAGTTTACATTGTAATACTTCTGACAGCCAACTTTCTAGCTCCGCCCACATTTTCTGGACTTCATAGCATTCCCAGAAAGCAAGGATTATTGAGTCATTATTAGTTTTACATTTAAGACTCAATGGCTCTGCCGTTGTGCTGTAGCATTTCTGAATTTGGTCTCCAGTATGAAAATGGATGCACTCACTAACTGTAAGTCGTCTGCTAAATGACTAAAATGTAAAAACATGTATAAATTCTAAACATTAGTTTATACTGGATTAAGTATAACTTTTTTGTTAACTCATTTTGTTAGTTACGCTCCAACTTTCCCTCCATGTTGTGCCAACATCAGTTCTTTTTAAGTCTTTGTTCCAGAAGTGTATACATTTTTTCTAAGGGCGTTAGTAGTTATCAATGACGCATGCCAGGAAGTAACAGCAGGAAGTGTACCCTTCAATCTGTGCTGCAATTTGTTATAATAATAATAATATGCCATTTAGCAGACGCTTTTATCCAAAGCGACTTACAGTCATGCGTGCATACATTTTTGTGTATGGGTGGTCCCGGGGATCGAACCCACTACCTTGGCGTAACAAGCGCCGTGCTCTACCAGCTGAGCTACAGAGGACCACGTTGAGTCAACTCAACTGACATTACAAAAAATACGTTCCATTGCATGAGCCACATCAGTTAGCATCATTTGAATTTACATTCTACGTTACCATGGCAATCCAGTCGATAGAACATTCCAACTGACCATGGAAATTATTGCATCACAATACCAGCCGCCATTGCGAGTGTACCCATGAGTTTACCAGTCAAATTTCCAATCCCGTTTTATTCATTCTATTGTCCTATCATCAACTGATTTCAGCCAGTGTATGGCTGTGGAGCGACTGCATTGTTTGAATAGAATGTTGGCAGTTAATTTGAAACATGTATGGCATCATTCATCTAAAACTGGTTAACATATACATTCTTAAAATACATGATTTTACACAATCTTATCACAGCACTGACAAACCATGGTTGACCAACTCCCTGACCAAAATGGCTGACCTTTAGACCATCATAAGTCATGTCGAGTCTAGCATTCAAATTCCTAATTCTATGGACACGACTAACACGGCAGATGCACGTGTGTAGTCAGTTTTGTCCCTCGCTCCGGCATCATGGCTAGCTAGGGCCTACTGCCCTAAATTCTACATTAGCCAACGTTAACTAACGTAGTAAACTAGGTCATTCATCATTCTCCGGCTAGCCGTTTAAACTCAACTCCATGATTTAAATCGAAGAATTTAGTCAGCTAGGCTAACGTTAGCAAACGCAACGCGTTAGCCAGCTACCGGCTACTGTACATATTTAAACGTTCGCATTAGACGTAAATATTAGATTAAAACACATAACTTTGAAGTAACTATGTAGAAAAATATATGTACATTTCTTAACATGGGCAATAGTAGCTAACGGATTCATGCAAAATTACACAATAAAATAGACCGAGAACGAAACCCACCAGGTGCTGACGCCATCTTCGTTTCGTCTGATGTTGCCGCATGCGCGTAAACGAGTAGACGGATGAACTTGTGCCGCGTTCAAAACAACTGGGAACTCGGTAAAAAAACGAGCTCCGACCGGGAAAAATCGATTTCAACGGTCATCCAACTCAGAATTCCAACTCGGGAACTTGGGCCTCTTTCTAGAGCTCCGACTTTCTGACATGAAGACACTGAAGGCATGATTTGACCTCATATTCTTCGTCGGGTTTCTTCCTAGGAACAACGTTTCTGTTAACTCTGATGTTGCTGATGTGGCATTCCAGCCAGCCTCAGTTTAGGCCCAGGTGGACAGTTCCCAGGGTGCCGAGGTAGTCTAAAAGGAAACAGAATAGTACTTTCCCTCTCTCACACACAGATCTTTAACTCTATGCCTTCAGTCATGAGTAGCTGCCCTCTCTTCTCTAAAATACAGTTCTCCTACTGTTGCTTGGACCCATGCCAAGAGCGACGCTGGGGCACGGTGGCTTTCCTTGCCTTTTCACTCATCTCCATAGCCTGCCTGCCTCAACTGTATGCCATCCTACTCTTCATCAGTGGGAATGAGGCTAGTCGTGTTTGTGGTTCTTCCTCCACCCAACTGGCTCTGTTTACAGCCAAGTGTCATCAGGTGACCCAGAGGAAGCTGCTCAGATGTGTACCTGTTTGGTTCCTGCCCTGGCTGCTCTTACTCCTTAATCTGGTGTTGCTTCCCAGGCAGCACACCTGGACTGCTCCACTTCTGTGCCATACTGATAGGACACAACTGTATCGTTCTCTGCCATAAAATACAACAAATTATTGGGAAAATGTTTTGTCCTCATTGTCTCTGTCATACCTTTTACATTCTGTGATTATATACCTTACCTTTGTTTAAAGATTGTGCATCCTTTATTGGAGTGTTGCAGAAAAAAAAGGATATTGGGATTTTCAACTTCCCCCTGCTTGGGCCTATGTTCCTTACTACTCCAGGCTCAGGCTTCCCACCTAAAGCATCTCACAGAGGTGAGAACAACAGTAGCTTGTTCAAGTCTGACTTACTACTACCTAGCCTTGGAATGGCAGAGTTGGTTGCATGAGTGAGTATTGTCACATTAGACTTTGTTGTTTATTACAGATTTGGGTCGTTCCCACAGGCAGCTCCCTCTAACAGACCCCCCATGGAGGACCTTTCACCCATGAACCCACAGCCTTGGCCAGCGCCTGTTCCTCAATGGCTGCTGAATGGGTCTGCAGCAGTGTCAGATGCCCAGTTATTGGATGAGCAGATGCTGAGGGCGGGGGTATTGGCCTCCTTACAGGATGCCCCTGAGGAACCAGAAGCCAAAGTGGAAGTGCCAAAGTCCTCAGTGTCCTCTCTGAAGTCAGTCAGGTTTACTAGGGCATTTACTAGTAAAGAAGAGCATATTTGTAGTAGCCTTTATGTACTATATTTTATAGAGTAATTTGTCATATAATGCTTAGCTGATTCCACCCAAAAGCAAGCTGTGATCGAACATAACTGAGTCATCAAATAAAATAATTGTATTGAGCAGAAATATTATATATATACATTTTTTAAATTAAATTTTTTCCTCACAGGCTTCAGCTAAAGCTGTGGTGGTGCTGGCTGCCACTAGACAGTTAGATGGCTCCGTCTCCCTGCTCATTGATGACAGAGTTGGGGAGGAGGCTGTGATGACATCCAAAGGGAAGAGCCCCCTGCCACCAAGGAATGCCTTAGGCCTGTCAGATCAGCACATGGTGGCCAACTAGTAGGAGCTTGGAACAGAAGGTATGATTTAGCATCATGATATTGTTATTTGCTTGGGTTTTGCTGAGCTGAACTTGTGTTAAAATGTACGCTGTGGGCTAAAAGGAAAAGACAAGAGTACCCAAATAAATGTCATTATGAAAAGAATGAGGACAATGAACCTGTTAAAAAACACAAAACAATTATTTATTATAACAACCATCTAGAATATTTTTTTGCACAATAACACATTAGCAAGCAATTTGAAATCGGCCCAAAATGGATATGACGTTACATACAAAACAAGAAACAGCTATTGATATTTTTTTTATAAAGAAACACATTTGATCAAGGAAGCATATTTTTTTTACTGTGACAGAGAAATCAGTCTAAATATACGAAAAAAGTATGAAAAATGTATGCACTCACTACTGAAAGTCACTCTGGATAAGAGCGTCTGCTAAATAACTAAAATGTAAAATGTAAAGAAAGAAATAGTGGTACAAAGTTACACAAACATGTATTCAAGTTCCAGTAACAGGTCCTCTACTCTTACTGTGTGGTGTGTGTGCTTAGGACTGAAGCTGCTGTAGGAGAAAGGGTCTCTTAGAGATGACATTGCTTTAGCTTGTGGGTTTAAAATAAATGTGATGTGTCTTACTACTGACAGTTTATGCACGAGCTGCAGCTTGGGGTTTGAAAGAAATGCAGGAATTTGATCACATATCAGAACTTTGTAGAAGATACTTAGCTATAAGGGTTTGAGTTGTGTATTTAGGCACCGTTGTTGAGAAAATACTGTCTAAAAATGTAGAAAGTGTAGAAAAGGATAGCACAGGACTAAATGTATGTGCAACAACATAAATCTACACTAGAATGTGAATAAAATAAATACAGTTACATCTCTTGTGTGTTTGATTTAAAGGGGGGATATCAGACACCAAGACACATACACTGATATACTAGACTTTTCATAACATGTCACTATTAACTGACACCTCAATGGGAAAGGTGTGTAATGTCTTCATCTTTATAGTGCACTACATAACAAGGATTAAAACAATATTATAGAACCAACAGGAATATAAGAGGAAGAGGTTTGTTTGTGTACGTGTGTGTCTTGCAGTCTGTACATGTTAAATATATTTAAATAAGTAAACCTCTGAGATTCCCGACATTGTTAAAGTCCAAACAAATTCTCAGAGCCAGTCTCTTTTTTTCACACTTGATTCCTTCTTTAATTGACCCTCATTTATACTATACTGCAATGACCCTTATAGTCCAGAATTGTTTTCAGTTGAATGAGCACCATTAAACATATCAAGCTTTTTAAAGGAAAACTCCACCCAAAAATGATCATATGATGCAAAATGCATCATACAGGGATGAATTCTGTATTTTGAAAGTTACATATCTTGAAAACTGTATTGCTGACAAGCAAAACATTTTGGGACTATGTCAACAATGGACTAATGAAACAAATACCAAAATATAGTTTTTGGGTGGTTTTCCTTTTATCTTACAAGAATCTTTGCATGTTTTCCGAGGCCTGTAGGATATTATCTTGAAATATTTCCTAGCTGTAGCCACAGGGATGGGACACAGGGGGAGCCATGTGTCTATGGGGAGGTGTGTGTTGGGGTAGAGGTGGGTGGTACTGGTTCCCAATGGAGGTGGGAAGACTCTGGAGCACCAGTGGAGCTTCCCTGAGGTGTCCCCCACCTTTCATCTGATGGTACAGCCGTCAGAGGGTATCAGATAAGGTCTGGATCAGTGGAGTGCCAGAGAGACCTAAGGGAGGGGTGGTTAGACCCTGTGATCCTCAGAGACGCAGCAGGGAGGCTACTTCCCCTGAACCTTGGTGTCCGAGGACAGAGGAGGGGAGACGAGCCGATAGGGTAGGGCTCCTGCCCGCTTATTCCTGTAGAAACCGCCTGGGGACGCAGTGCCAAACGGACCATCTCCAGACCCTAGATCAGGCTCTGTTGAAGAAACAATGAGTTGGGGCCATGCTACCCTATACATACATATATGAGACATACATATAAAATACTTAGTTAATAGAGCACATTATTAAATATAATAAAGCATTTATATGATGTTGCTATAGGTGGCTGATTATATATTTATCATTATGATGTGCCTAGAGATGAAAGTAATTTAAACAAGTCTAAATCTTTGAGTTGCATGCATTTATTTAGTGAATAAATTAACATTTACTGGTAGATGTCTACTAATGTGAGTCCAGTTAGAGCAACAACTTTTAAAGCAAAAAAAATACATAAAATAGCATTTTACGTATGATCCCTGCATGCCTAATGCAGTAGATAATGTAATCTAGCCTGAATGAGGGGTGAGGATGGTTACCAGCGTTACCTGGCCAGATGATAGCCTCCAGCAGTGTCACCCTGCGAGCCAGAAGCTCCAGGTCAGCCTGCAAGTCTTGGAACATCTTCAAACTAATGTCCTATCAGAGAACAGTAACAAGGGGACTGGGTGAGGGGTGGAGAGTGGACACACCAGGCCTGGTCCTGGGGCTGCCTGCCTCTGTCCATACCCCCTGTCCCACGTCCCAGGAATGGTGGAGGGTGGGGTGAGACCCAGCCTCATCTGACCCCTGCCTAAAGCTCACCCTGCTGCCTAAAGCTGACCATCCTGCCTCAGGCCTCCTACTCACCATGAATACCGATCATAGTCTCGAGGATTAAAACCCTCTCGGCTAAGATCTTCAGCGCTTCTCTGATCTGATGTATCCCGTCCCCCTGTGAAGATAGATACAGCCGTCAAGGTAAGGAGCACAAGCCAAACAAATTGCTCGCCAAGGTGCAAGTCATTTTCTCTCTGTCAATCCATTACAGCAGTTAGCGGGTTAAAACCAGTCCACGCACCCACCCCGCACCCCTTTACCTTATCCCTCCCCTGTATCTCTCTATATCCCTGGTTCTCTGGCCATGCTGCCATACCAGGCCAGACTTTGCCATGCTGGGCAAAAACAGCATGCACATCACAGTACATTCCTATGTTGTTGACATAACAAAAGTGTGGTAGACTGTCCAAGGCTTCAGGTTTGACCATGCCATCCACATTCCCTCTGGACTTGACCAAGATGAGCAGCTATTCAACCAGGCAAGTATTTTAGAGGGGTTGCATGACAAAATATTGATTTTTTAAAATGTTTGTAAAGAACCTTCTGAAGTCTTAGTATATTGCATGTACATAACTGTTAATACAGCTGTGGTCATAATAGCTGCCCATCCATCTCTCACTGTATTCAAATATGCTTACCAGATAAAGCCAGTACTCTTTTTATTGTTTCTGTTTAAAATGAGAAACAGATCAATATCTACTTTTCAAAAAAGACCTACTGGCTTTATGAGTAATGTCCTAAGAAATAAATATGAAACATAGAAAATAAAAACAGAAAGATAACACAGACACAAGCAATCATGTCAGTAACAGTTGATAAAGAATGCATGCACACTATTATGTTAGTGTGGATGCCTGAGTACTTTTCTCTTGGGTCAAGAAATAAACTGATTAACGAGTAGTGGACAAACCTCTACGGAACAAAAGGCAAGATTTCATTAAGCTACAGTACTGTATATCTATAAATCATATTAATGACTAATGTCCAGTGTGTTTGTGTTATTGTATGGCTCCACAATAACAAGCTCCTCTATGTCATGGTTTATTGATGAGGAGCAGATGGGAGCAGAACGGATAATGGGGCTATTGTGAGACCATTGAGGAGATAAGAAATCTATTTTTGGTTTGAAATACAATTTAGAGTGACCTTGCCTGGTTCCTGTGTTATTTCTGCATTTTTTGTTTTTACACTAAGTTAAACACAGAGTTTACATATGAGTTTGGCAAGCAAAAGAGACATGGCAAACAGTGCAGTAACTAAGGATGGGAGCATGCAGCCATGCATTGTGGGACACTGGAGGATAGCTGTATCCACTCACATTTCCAACCCCAGTCCACCCCACCCTACCCCACACACCCAGCACTAACCCACCACCACTGTTCCCACAATAACTCTAAATGGAGTGATTTGGCATATACATTTGACACATACTTAAGCAAAAAGGCCTGAGGGGGGTGTGGTATATGCCTTATTGCTATTATAAACTGGTTACCAACGTAATTAGAGCAGTAAAAATAAATGTTTTATCATACCCGTGGTATATGGTCTGATATACCACGGCTGTCAGCCAATCAGCATTCAGGGCTTGAACCACCCAGTTCATACTTAAGCAATAAGGCACGAGGGGGTGTGGTATTTGGCCAATATACCACATCTAAGGGCTGTTCTTATGCACGATGCATCACGGAGTGCCTGGATACAGCCGTTAGCTGTGGTATATTGGCCATATACCACAACCCCCTGAGGTGCCTTATTGCTATTATAAACTGGTTAACAACGTAATTAGAGCAGTAAAAATAAATGTTTTGTCATACCTGTGATATACGGTCTGATATACCACGGCTGTCAGCCAATCAGCATTCAGGGCTCGAACCACCCAGTTTATAATAACATTTATACTATGTATACACAATATGTGCTGTACACTAGTTAAATTAACATATGAACATGTCATCCTTTGCATCATTTATATAATTTGTAGAAGGGTTTGTAAAAGCATGGCATGATCAAATATTGATCCTCAATATAACGATGTATTACATGCCACTCAACAGATTCTTATATATTCCATGATCTTTCCCTCAGTCAGTAAATGACTTAGCAGGTGTGAGGCAGGCATGTGTATGTATATGCCAATGCCAGATTCTCAGAATGTGACTGTGAAAGGTAGCCATGGAGACAGTAGCTTGCAGAGGGAGTCAGACAGCTTTAGGGTCGGACAGGAGTAGTACAGTGTTTTCAACAAGGGGCAGCAGTCCACAGCACACCCCAAGGACCAAAAAACCACAACAATCACAAAACCATCATGAAACAGAACACACACAAACAACAGGAACCACAATTCCACATGCAGCAAACTGACATACTATAAAGTAAATTAGTATTTTTTTAAACAAATGCAGGACCATTTGCAGAACAATACTAATAACAATATAGATAAGTGAACAGTAAACTTCATAAAAAAGTGAAATCACAAAGATAAGTATGTAAATGTGGTGATTGGACATGGATCATAGTGGTACTTGCTGTCAAAAATCATTTAGATCACTTACATTTAGATTGTTCTTGTAAAATGAGAAAGATGCAAAGGAAAAGCAGTGATTAGACAGACACAGTAATTGTCTATACAGTATACAGTATTTATACAATTTAAGTACACTGTGGGGAAATTGACTCTTTCTCAATTAGTTTTTCTCAATTTCTCGCATCTTCTATCCTCACTTCCTTCTCAAACACCATTGGAGGAGAAGACCCAAGGTTCCTTCCGTTGGACATTCTCCTCCTATGGCTTTGAGAAGGATGCAAGGAGAGAAGATACAAGGAATCAAGGAAAGACTAATTGAGAAAGGGCCACAGTTTCCCCTCCTGCCTCCTGGTCTTATACAGCCCAGTGGTGTACAGCCCATCTCTGGTGGTCTTACCGGCAGGCCTTTCTCTCCTGGCTCTCCCGTGGCTCCTGGTACTCCCTATATAGAAACATGGAGTAAAGAGTAATGGCACACCTGTGATATCACTTCACTTGCATGACAGTACTGCCTTTGAAAAAGCAGCAGAAGAAACCCATTCTCTGAGTTTGTGAGATTGCTGGTTTGTATAGTTTACCATGGTTCATTCAGGTGTGACATGTGTAGGTTTTTCTCACACTAACGTGTGTGTTTATTAAGGCCATACTCATCAGGGCCACAGCTATACAGGAAGTAGGTGGCTTACCGGCTCTCCTATGAATCCTCTCTCTCCTGGATATCCCAGAGGACCCTAAGAAGCCAGTGGCAAGTTAGGAGTTTTGTCTCTCTATCTAGGGGATGTAAAGAATGGAATGAAAACATTAGGTGTGGTTGGGCCCTGGCTGGCCTGTGCATTGTACTCACTCTCTCCCCACGTTCTCCTTTTGGCCCAACCGGGCCGTGTATCCCAGGGGTCCCCGACTTCCCCTGTAGAGAGACAGAAGAAAAGGTTCAAAAAGACACATAACAAATTTGTAGAAGTGTGCATTAAGTGGATCTAATCTCACTCATATGATTATTATTTCTATTGCACCATTACACACTGCCCACTGTAGTGCTAAGGCAAAAACCTACGTTCTGTCCAGCTGGGCCAGGGGGTCCCATGGGGCCTTTGAGGCCTGGAGGACCTGTATGATGGGACACATAAGGACTGTGAGCATCAAGGTAATAAGCAGCTTTTAGGTCAAGTTGCCTTTATAGGCCAAGATAGGTTATTATCAGACACATAAGGCAAATTGAGAATGAAAAGAGAGACAAAATAAAGGAGAGAAAAAAATCTGAATTATGGATGAATGATAGGAAAGGGTTTCATGTTACGTGTGTTTTGGAACAGCTGGAACAAGTTAAGACAATCAGATTATGCAAAGGTATTTGGACTAGGACATAAACCACTGTTAAAAAGTATAACAAATAATAAGAAGTCCTTAGTCAGATGAATACTAACAACTGTGTCCCATTGAGTCTTCCTATTCCTAACTCCACTATAGGTGTGTAAAGAATTACTGGACTGGGCAAACCATTACATATATGGACATGCTTGTTATAATGTTATATTGAACACACTTAAATCTGCTTTGTTTGGTCATGATAGAAGTGATGCTAGATAAGTCTTATCCATCATAGAAGCTGGCCCAAGCTCACTCCTCTCACAGCTCACTTTAAACATGGGGATGGAAAAGGCTCATCTTGAGGCAAGAGGGACAGGCAAACAACAAATAAATCCAACATTTAAGAGACTGGGAGCAAATCCAACTTCCTCTAATGAGGAAATCAGAAGTTTCTAGATGAGAGTTGGGGACAGAGAATTTGTGTTTCAGTGAATCTGACAGAGAATGGAGACTTTGTTAATTATTATATTTAGTCCAGGGGCATAACTGGTAAGAGAACCCAAATTAATATGCAATTTAATCACTACACTGACATGATATTCAAACCAATATGTTTTCTGGCTGGGGACCAGGACAGAGAGGGAGATACTGACCAGCAGGTCCAGCAGGGCCTTGTGGGCCTTGAACAGGAGCCCCTTGTGGGTCAGGGAAGGTGTTGGAGAGGAGCAGCTCCTTGCCCTGACCTGGAATAGAGAGAACATGCACACATGTGAGTGGTTAAAAAGGACAATGACAAGAAGACTGATGGAGAACTTCATTTACTGAACTACATTACTGAAAAGTGCCTACAGGGGGCGATGCTCTCACACAAATGTTCAGGCTTCTTTCAGCACCATGCAGTACCAAACCATTACACGGTCCATCTTTTATATAGGTAAATGTAAAATATATAATATATAATATATGGCTAAATATCATATCATGATTATCACATTGTTTGCACTCATTTGTATGTGGAATTCATGTCCTACAGGTATACATGGTACAGTATTTAAGAATGACTTGCGTCACCTCCATTGACATTGTGCTGACAGAGCACTTCTGAGCTGATCTATATCTGTAGGGAAAGAGAGAGGAAAAGCGGTAGGAAGTGTCCCAGTGATAGGTGGAAGTGTGTGTTTTTAAAGGGTTGTCTCGGGCTGACAGGGAGCACAGTGTTAATGGAGTGCCACAGAAGAGGAGAGCAGGGAGGAGAAGGCCTATCAACGAGACACATCCTCCAGCTGCCACACTGACTTTAAACTCTGTTCCAGTCCCACACAACCCTGATAAAAATAGCTCAGGAGTTGAGGTGTCTGGCTGTTTTTCTGTCTGTTCGTCTGTCCGTCCGCCCTCCCACTAGTCCATCCTTCAGTCCGTCTGACTGTCTGTCTCTATTGAAACATTATTTTTATTTCTCTTAATTTCCAGCTCCTGTTCTCAACACCTTCTCTGACAGTGTGTCTATGTCCCTCTACTTTCCAACCCCACAATGTCCTGAGTTTACAACAGTCTTCTACAATGTAATGTCTATGATTTTCTAAGATTGCTAGGTTCATACATCCCCTCCTCCTCTCTACCTGTGACCCTGTCCCACCTGAAGATAGGAGGGTTTAGTCCCATTCTGCTGCAGGAGATTCCAGCCTCCAGATCGATACGGGAAAGCCAATACGCCAGTGTTTTCCAAAGGAAGCTCAGCACAGAACCCCTGCGTCTGCTGCTTTCACTTTGATGTGAAAGAAATGACTCAGTCTCAGAATTCTCAATGCCAACCTTGATTTACTTACAGCTAGAATTCTCCATCTGTCAACCTACACAACCTACACTCTGCAGCCCATTTCCTCCTCTCTATTTTTGCCATTCAGCCCTCATACCTTCCCGTATTGCCTGAGCTCCAACCTTGAGTGATGCTGTATGTACCCCTGTTTCAGCTCCACATCTGGAAATGGTTGAGTGACATCAGCGGCGGACAGGTTCTTATCCCAGTTTGAGTCCCCCCCCCCCCCTCTCTCTTTTCCCATCCACAGACTCAGACCCTCTCAACCTCCACTCAATCACCCTCCTCTCAGGCCTTTTTGTCAGGTAGACAGGACAGGGGAGAGGGAGAGGGAGTACCCGTTAAAACACATTTGTCTCTTTCTAATATCCTTACTTTTATTCCCTCTGCCATCCTCTCCATTTCTCCTTCTTTCACTCTCTCTCTCTCTTCTAACTCAAATAGAAGTTCAACATGACTCTATGTAATGTAATAGACATGGGGAACATGTTGATTTTCAGTGGAAATAGACAACATTAGTGAGAGCATCAACAGGTATTTGTTCTCCTTCCATCACCTATTTAAAGACCAAAGGAAGGTAGCATCCTCAGCCCACACCTCTCAGTAAACTACTGCCTCTGCAGATCCACTTATTTTGGACTCATGGCAAATTGATTCTGTGTGGACTGAGGTCACTTCCTCTGGTTTGGCCCAGAAAAAGACCACCTATTGTGAGAAGGGGAGGGGTGAGGGTGGTTGTCTGACAGGGACAGACTATGCATCTGGTTTTTCACCTCTGGGACATCTCCAAGTCCATAATACTGGGGTGTGAAAACTCATGAACTGCACTAGAATGGTCTACCATTTTCATACAAACCCAATGAATGGAAAATTGACCCAGATGAGCATGAGCGATGGTGACAAAGAGCAATTAGGGCTGTAAGGCACGCACATGGGCCTACATGACATCATAATTACAAATAAATTATTTGAGTGGGTGGTGTTCCATAACACTATTGTTAATCTGATGAATTGAGTGTGTGTGGTGTTGGATATGGCTGTCTGTTGTAGTGGTGCTCCACTTACCCCGGTCTGGCTCTGGGATGTGGGTGCTGGCAGGGGCTGGGGATCCAGGGGGTCCTGGAGGTCCAGGAAGCCCAAGTAGACCCCTCTCTCCTGGGAGACCTGGTGGACCTTTGGGTCCTAGGGGGAGGGGAGATACACCACACTGTTATGCTGAGGGACAGCAGTGACATGACAATGACGGAAAGGGTAGGAAAAAACTCAGTGACAAAAGCAAGAACCAACATTGGCACAGCATTGGTGAACAGAGAAACATTTTTATCTCTTTTGGTATATCAATAGATTTTTAGAGTATATAGAGTATTCTCATCATTTCAAAGGGCACCAGAGGTGATCCCTTGATGAAGAGGTTTCACCCTGTGTTGCCTTTCTTGGCATGCATAGCAATGGCAGGGGAGTGCTGGTGAACCTATAAAAGGTGGTGGGTACAGGGCAAAAAGATATATAGTAGAGAATGTAAAGGGAGGGAGAGTGAGGGAGAGAGAGCAAGCGCTGCATGGTGTATTAAGTTTCAGTGCTTGGCGGTTGTGTGAGGCAGGCTAATATCAGCAGCAGGAGAGGAGAGGGGGGCTGAGAGACTGACTTGTGTTCAGCTGTAATTAACAGGAGGAGGTCTCTTAATGGCCGTGTGCTGGGAGCTCAAAGGGAGACTTGGGAAAGCTCAAATAAACACCATTAAAGCCGGAGCGTATTAGCGGACTAGTGCGTAATAAATTAAATTCTGCCTGCGTCTGCACGAGCCGGAGTGTGTGAGCGTGCGCGTGTGTATATAACCTGTCCCAACAAGCCAGCTTATGTTCTCTCTCCCTCCCACAACGACTTCTCCTTTTGTTGAAAAAAGGCGAGAAGAAAAGCTGAGATGTGACTTGTCCCTGTGGCCCAGCTGGATTGGCTGCTCCATCCACAAACACAAACAAAGTGCCTCACCTCCCCACAGCAACATCTGACCTCATTGTTTGAACTTTCCTGAGGTAATGCTGTGCTCAACATGACCCCCGACCCTCCCCCATCCCCCACGCGCACGCACACACAACCCCCATCTATTAATCTATCTCCTTGACTTGTGACCTTGAATAATGGTCTCGAGGGTAATGCAACTGACAACAGCTATCATTGTGTTGCAATTATTGTATTAGCAACTATGAATAACTTCACATAATAATGGGTCATTTGTAATGTGTTATTACAGCTCTGATTGGATTTGACACCTCGCTGATTCATTTTCACTTAGCTTTGGTAAACATCGCAGCATAACTGACTGCGTTGCGGTTCTGCACTAGCTCAACCCCACCTGAAGGACCGTGACCCTTGGTCAGCAGTACAGTGGCACCGCTGGGTAGTCAAAGTGGCCTCTCCAGAGTCTGTGTTAGCATGACGTTCAGAGTCTGTGTGTTCCCATGACGTTAGGGCAAACAAGGCTCTATTTTTCCTGCAGAGTAATGGGGCCTTGAAGCAGCTGTGGGCTACGGTGTCAATGTGTGAGTAAAAGTGTGTGTGCGTGTGCTTGTGTGTGTGTTTGGTGTGTATGTGTGTACTGTATGTGTGTGTGTGTATGTGTGTGCGTGTTAGGGAATCCTAATTCTCTATACAGGAAACATGTCCTTTCTGTGCACTGATTAAGGGAAAAACAACCAAATACACATCAGTGCAGGGCTGCACACACTCCAACCCCAACCCCAACCTCACACTGCTTCCCTCCCTGCAGAAAAGTAGCAGTCCCTGTGAGTGTGATTCAATCTCCACTTGAGTCTTTATGAATCTGTCTCCCAGCGCACGCTCACACACCATGTTATATTATTCTGTTTTCACCCCTCCTGAGTTCATTACTTTCCCTTACTCCTTCACCTTACCCACCTGGAACTATCACCACCAAACATGCTCTCATAACACTCAGGTTTTCTGTTACATCAAACACAGTCTTGTCACTGTTAACATTTGTCTTATGTGCAACGTACAGGAAGAATTCAGCATGTGGAGAGAGAACATAGTTTTGGATAGAAACTCTAGTTTACCCTGAGAATACACATAATACAATAGGGATAGGAAAACAATAACACCGCAGACATATGGAAGGCATGAGGAGACAGGACTTGTATACATAGCTCATGTTCATTTCAGATTGGATTCACATGGTGCTTCTCAGAAAGTTTTGTAGTTTAACTTTTGCTCTACCCAGCAGCAGCAGGCACAGAGCAGGGGTCATATGTCCCTCAGAGAGGGAAGGACACACACTGACTACATGTTCCATACAGAGAGGAACCAGAACCACAGCCGCCAGCTACAACACGTTATGACAAACTTATATTACTATTTATTTTATTATCATTAAACTTGTAACTGCCTGCGATGCCTGGGGATTTCTTGTTTTACGACTGTTATTTATTATTTGTCCATAACCATTTAGCCTCGAATATAAGCAACAGATTTGAGCTTTCTTTATGTTGTTGAACGAACGACTCTGGTTGGTCAGCAGGCAGGAACAACAGCGAGTGTTCTGAGCCATAGGGGTGTTTTGTGTAGTCTGAGGACAAATATTTTGGCAACCATGCTGAATCAGCATACTCCGTATTTAGTCTTATTGTTGAAAAGTCAAAGTTATCACCATGCTGTCCACTGAGGAACTGCTGTGTTTTTCATGGACTACAGCATGGGTTTGTGGAATGGCCGAGTGGTTTCACAGAAAGACAAACACTCTGATGCAGGATGTCATGATGCAGTTTGTTGCAGTTTGTTGAGATAGATCTGAGTGACTTTTCCACAATTTTTTCAGGTCTCAAGTCATTAGTGAGCAACATACACTCAGGGTTCTTGTTTGCTCTTGTCACACCCTGGCTCTGGGACTCATTATGTTGAGCCAGGGTGTGTTCATTCTATGTGTGTATTTCTATGTTGGTATTCTGTTGTGTTTAATTCTATGTTTGCCTGAGTGACTCCCAATCAGAGGCAACGAGTGTCAGCTGTTGGCTGGTTGTCTCTGATTGGGAGCCATATTTAAACTGTCTGTTTTTCCCTTTGTGTTTGTGGGTTTTTGTTCCAGTTGGTCCAGCTGGGGCGGCAGGTAGCTTAGTGGTTAAGAGCGTTGTGCCAGTAACCGAAAGGTTGCTGGTTCTAATCCCCGAGCCAACTAGGTGAAAAATCTGTCGATGTGCCCTTGAGCAAGGCACTTAACCCTAATTGCTCCTGTAAGTCGCTCTGGATAAGAGCGTCTGCTAAATGACTAAAATGTAATGTAATGTAAATGTAATGTAAATGTCTATGTTACCTAGGACGTTACGGAGTCGTTTGTTGTTTTGTTCATTGTCCGTATTTATCACTAAAGATAAATAAACATGTTCGTTCATCACGCTGCGCCTTGGTCTATTCCATACGACGATCGTGACAGCTCTGGCCTAGTGAGAGTATTGTCATAGTTTTGTCAGAGACAATGGGTTAAGTGGGGTGGGTACGCATACAATCACCCTGTTCCCACAATTATCTTTACGACATGTGTATTTATTGACAAACAGTGTCAACGTCTTGTAAGACAAGAAGCATTTGTTTGACATCGGTGCACCCTGCTTAATCAACTGTAAACATGGAACTATCTTCATATGGTATTCATGAAACATCTATCATTCATACTGATTACAGTCTGTTACTATCATACTTCAGCCAAAAGGAATGACTGTCACAAATTTGGAGGCTTATGAAATCTTACAGTGAAATCAGGGGTTGTTTAAATCATACACCCTGCCATCATCTAGTTACAGTAAGTATCTTACCCACTGGTCCTGGGATCCCCTTAGATCCCGGGGTCCCCGAGGGGCCCCTCACCCCAGCCTCGCCCCTGGGGCCACTGGGTCCCGGCAGTCCCTGAGACCCTGGCTTCCCTGAGCAAAGACAGGGGACAGACACTACTAACTATGGAGCCATACTGATACAGCCACAAATAAAAGTTTGTGTTACAAACAAAGCAATGATTGAGCTGACAACATCTCAAACTTACCATCTCGTCCAGGGGTACCGTCTTTGCCTCTTTCACCATGTGGACCTGTGTGTTAGGGAGGAAACAGACAGACGTCAGACAGCAGACCCAGGGAAAGAGGGAGAGAAAGGGGTTGTCCATTGCCTTGTGTGGAGAAATGGACTAGAGGTTGAGTGATTCCTGAGGTGAAGCGTTACTAGATGGAGGTGGCAGAGCAGCTGAGCTGTGCTCTGGATTAGACAGACTCGCTGACAGACTAAGCACTGAGATGTTTTTAGGGCCACAGAGGTGCCAGTGAGGAACGAACCCCTCAGCTAGTCATGGGAGACTAAAACCCAAATGTTCCATGCAGGGCGAAAAATTCTGCCAAATGATAGCTCTAATATTGTAGTGAAACTAAACAGAACAGGTCATGTCTTTCTCTCTCAAAACTCGTAAGACATTGACTGTGTGTTAGGGTGCACATAATGGTGCATTTACATTCTTCAACAGGCCTTAGAAGGCCAGTGATGATCTTAACCTGAGAGCCTTTAGATAAAACAGATTTGAATGTAATTGGATGGAAGTTGATACACTATTTAAAGGTATTTTGAGAGTACAGCAGCAGAGCACCCTCTCTTTCTAGCTGCAGCCAAGGCTGAGCTCAAGGGAAGGAGAGGGCTTTCATGCCCTGAAGTGTTCACTTTCCACACACCCTCCGTCCTCCCTCCCTCCCTCCCTCCCTCCCTCCCTCCCTCCCTCCCACAGAACCCTGAAAGTGAGCAGTGCAGACAACTGGACTCTGACTAGTCGAAGAGGAAATGAGTGTGTGTGTGTACGTCTCTCTCTTAGCGACAGAGGAAATAGGATATGAGGGGAGGAGAGCAGGTAGAGAGGCAATGGAGAAAGAATTATGGCACATGGAGCGAGCTGTGCAGAGTAAGTTCTCACTCAATTATCAAACATAACCCACTTCACTCAAAATAATAGGCATACATGGTTGCTCCTCAACCCTGCCCATACATGGGTATAGGATACTTGTATGTACCTATGGGTCCCTGCTCGCCAGGGGCTCCTTTGGTTTGTGGATCCACTATCTGTGAGGAAGATTCCTGTGCCGTTCCTCCTTTACCCTGTAGGTGGCGGTGAGAAGTGGAGGCAGGAGAGGACAGCACCTGGACCTAGTTGGATAAAATAGTAAAGAGAGAGAAAGAAAGAAATTTAGATCGTAACGCCAATGCCTTTCAAATGGACTCAAACACTGTTGTTTATGATGAGAGACTGTGTGGTCTCTCACTGCAGCACATTCTTCAGTAGAGGAGTCCATGACTGTACCTTTGCCTCCAGTGAGCTGAGTCTATCTGTCAGGGCTGTGATTCGACTACAGTTAAGGCAATCTGGAGAACCGAGAAAGAGACAGATATTATATGGGGACAAGTATCGATATCTGCAAAAATCACTTCCAAAATGTACAAAATATGAGAAACATGGGGCCTGAGTATTAAAACAGAAACAGTGTAAAGAGAAAATGAAATCCCAGGTGTTCTGAGTCTGACAATATTCAAGAGAGAAATATGGTTCCAGGTGTTATAGTACTGTATAAGAGAGCATTAGGGTCCTGGTTGTTACTGGTGGAGAGCTGCTCCCCTGTTCCTGTTCCTGTTCCTGTGCGGGCCGGGGCAGGTGGCCGGCGGAGAGTGGACGGCTTCCTCACTGCCTCCTGAGCCACCAGCTGGTTTCCTGACTCTGCAGAGGAAGAGGAGGATGAAGTGGTGTCAGATCAATGGACCACACAGTGAAGTCATACAGACGTCATTCCGTTATGATGCACAGAGTCAGTCATGCAAATGGCCCTGATGGGCAGCGAGGCTTCCAGACAACAGAACTTCATTACACAACTGAATCAACAATGTAATAAAATACCAACCCCCCACAAAGTATTTTCACTCAATTTCTGAATGCTCAGTGGAGCCAACATTCTCTTGTCATTTCAAATGATTTGGCATTCTGATTATGATGAAGAACTGCAGAAGGCTAGTTGGACTACATGAGAGAGCTTTGCTCTAAAAGCCCCGTACAATAACTCTCTAGTGTCCTGTGACTGTAAGGAGACAGGGCCTCTCTCCACCAGGTGACCTCACTAACACCACAGTCATGGTGGCAGAGAACCAGCCGGTGAGGGCCACAGGGGAGAGGGATTGGGGGATGAGGGATGGGAAGGGAAGGGATGGTGCTAGATCAGACATGAAAGGCCCACAGCATATGTTCTGCTCTCCAAAGTCCCATCCATCAACATCATACTCTGCAATTGTATCAAATTCACACACAACAAACTGCTTTCATTCTGGCATGTTTTTATTGAGTATAAAAACACAATGCCTTGGAGAGACGGAGTTAGACAAACAATAGCTGGCTTGTATTAGGAGAATGAGCCATTTCAGCTCTGAGCTCTATTTTCTGTCTTGCCTTTATTTGATGAAGTGTGGGAGTTTGTGTTCCTGCAGGTTGGGGATGTTTTGAATGGGCAGACCTTTGTGAAGTCCTAGACTTTGTGGTTGCGTCTGTATGACCCAGGTGCTCCTGACACAAACAAGAGCCTGGGCTCAGCACCTCGTTAGAGGCCAGCCCACACCTCCTCTCCTCTCAGAGTCAGCTGGCTGGAGCCAAACACACTGCAAGGCACTGGCCAACATAGCCTGGAAATAGCAGGGGCAGGGAGAGAAGACTATTACACTCCTCCAAGAGCTCACTCAATCTCTCTCTGTCATACACTCACAGTCAGCCACACTTACTGTAATATATCCTATGCACTATTGATGCTTGTCAGAGACAAACACAGACAGAGCTACAGTACAGAGAGTTCATGTTCTGTTTAGAGTTTGGTGAGAGTGAGCAGGAGAGAGCAAAAGGCAAGAGAGGACAAAGGAGAGCACTAACAGAAAGAGTCAATGTGCATAAAGAGAGAGAAGGAGAAAGAGAAAAGAACAGTGTGAAAAGGCTTTGCGTAAATGGAGACTGCTCCAGTCACTTTCCCTCAACCTTTGTGGTTTAGATTTTCTATGTTTTGGGTTGTAAGGCTTTCTCAGCGGGTTACTAATATTGCATGTGGAAATTAAACAATGTTAGAGCTGAGACTGTAAAGTAATGGTATGTTCTAAGGAATGTGTAAAGAAAAACTGCTAAGAGCCATGTCTTCTTCCATTTCAGTAAGAATGTCAAATGTGTGGCGAATTTAGATCAGGGAGTAAACACTCTTTGTTCTGCTCTATGAGTGTGAGTGTGAGTGTGTGTGTTTGTGTGTGTGTGTGTGTGTGTGTGTGTGTGAGTGTGTGTGTGTGTGTGTGAGTGTGAGTGTGTGGTGGGGGGGACTCAATGGAAGTTTCCTATGGAGACCGGCTCGTAATGATGGCTGTGTCCGATTTCAAATGGCCTCAGAATTGAAAATATACCCCTGCTGAAGAACGCACTGAAGGCACCTCTAACCCAGCCTCCCTCTCTGACAGACAGCACCTCATTTTTACCCTCTAGACTATAGACTTTTAAAGTGCCAAGTTCCCTTCACCCACACTCAAATACATTGTATAAAACATTCAACTGGCTTTGCACTCAGACAACTGTCCCCCACACACCCCAACCGCCTAACTTCCATTCTCTTACTCGCTCTTTCATTCACTCTGTCTCTCCATGTCTCAAGTTTGAGAAATCACAGGATAACAAGAAAACTCTAGTCCCCTAAAACCCCATAGACAGTGTCTGTTAACCAGAGTGTGTGTGCGGGGATGGGTGTGTGTTGACTTGGATGTGCTGATTGTGATCCATTAATCTGGGCAGATAGTAATAACGTCAGGACTAATAACTGGCCCCTGACAGACATGGGGGGCGGAATCGGCGCTAGAGAGAAGAGAGGAGAGGAGATATGAGTCGTAAGAGACGAGAGAGCGAGATAAGTAAGGGGAAGAGCGATGAAGAGAGAGAGAGAGAGAGAGAGAGAGAAGAGAGAGCGAGACTAGATACCGAGAGAGAGAGAGAGCGAGTCATAGAGAGATAGAGTATGAAGTCGATAAAGATACCTCTATCCTCTCCTTCGGCTCCTCTTTCTCTCCTCTCTCTCTTCCTCTCTCTCTCTCTCTCTCCCCCCTCTCTCTCTCTCTCTCGCTCTCTCTCTCTCTCTCTCTCTCTCTCTCTTCTCTTCTCTCTCTCTCGCTCTCTCTCTCTCTCTCTCTCCTCTCTCTCTCCTCCCTCCTCTCTCTCTCCCTCTCTCTTTCTGAGGCGTCAGAAGGCTATCTGTTGGTTCTGGAGGCCATGGAGGGGGAAGGAAACAGGGACCCATCCCAACCACCCCCTTACCCTTTATGGAGGCTCTTACAGTGTTAAAGAGGGAAAGGGAAAGTGGCTGTTGTCTTAGCCTGTGGCAGATGGATGAATAAGAAACAAGAGTTTAGCACTACCAGAAGGATGTTGGTTCTCTAGAGCAGAGTTTCCCAAACTCAGTCCTGGGGGGCCCCCTGTGTGAACTTTCTGGTTTTGCCCTATCACTACACAGCTGATTCAAATAATCAAAGCTTGATGATGAGTTTGTAATTTGAATCAGCTGTGTAGTGTTAGGGAAAAAAAAAAAAAAGTTCACCCAGGGGGGCCCCCAGGACTGAGTTTGGGAGACCCCCCTGAGAGGGTTAGAGGTCGTCCTGACATCAGCTCTGTCTCTGTGTCTGGTTCCAGGCTCTGGGGCTGACAGGACAGGACACAGAGCACAGCACAACACAGGGGGAGTTTTCCACTGTTTACAAACACACTGGCATTGCCTGCCTGGTGCAACCCTCTCAGGATAAAGATGGAGAGGAGTGAAGATCACACCACTGCAGTGTCAGGGTTACCTAAAACCTGTGTGTGTGTATGTGTGTGTGTATGTGTATGTGTGTGTGTATGTGTATGTGTGTGTGTGTGCCACATAAATAATGTATGATGGACACACACACACAGAATGGCAGTAGTAGGATTGGAAGGTTTTCTTACTTGATAGGGCAGATAAATGGTGAGTCTCACTCATACCTCCTTTAGATGTTTTCAATGTCTAGCTCATTTGAAGAAGTATAAAAGTGCATACAGTACGTGTACTGGCGGTAGGAGCAGGGGAGGGGGGTCTTGGCATTCTTGCTGACAAGCTTCCAAAAAGCATAACACATTCCCCCTCTGTGACTGGGGTTACCCAAATAACCCCCTTCACCCCCCTTTAAGCATGCCCCTGAGGGCCCTCCGTGGCAGTCCAGGGGGAGGCCCCTGCCAGCACACGGTCAGAGGGAGAGGAGCTGGGAGCCATCACACTCAGAGAGGAGGCCAAAGTCCTACCAACCAGCAGGCTGGTGTGTGCGTGTGCGTGTGTGTGTGTGTGTATGTGTGTGTGTGTATAGTTCTTTATCACAGGCTCTTTTTGTTCTCCTCTGCCTGCAGCATTATTCATGATCCAAGGTCAGTCCTCCAGTGATACTACCAGTGAAAATAAACCAGACCCTCCTGCAGAGTGCCCAGCCAGCCCAGAGAGCACATTTCCCCCTTCCTCTCTCTACAGAGCCCATCCGTGCTCCAACTCGCTGTCCACTCCCTCTCCTCAGCTCATTATTTGCCCTGGTTTATTTATTATCTCTTTCATATGGATGTAAGACAAGTAGCACTGTGCAGACATACACAGTCCTCGTGCTGGTTTCTGCCAGGAAGGCCTGTCTTGTGGAGGTATTACAATGGCTAAAACGTCTCTTTGTTTCTTAATACATATGGTCTGTAATGATGGGCGGGTGACTTTATGCAAGCTCACACACATCCCATCTCAGTGGTGGCCTTGGTGGAGTTGAATCAAAAACGAGGTGTGAAGTGAAGCTATGTGATTTCACCAGTCAGATCAGACCTGAGAATGAACTCTGTCACATGGGACTGACTGGGGCTCTGACTGCCACACTCCTCCATCCCCTCCTCCTCCTTTGGCTTGAGTTTCATAAGACTGGTTTATCTCAGAGCTAGAGGTTCCCATGGGGAGGTATGGGGTCTGAGGAAGTGGGGAGCAGCTGTGGACACACAGACCATCCAGTCAACACAGGGCTGGGCCGGGGAGGGGAGGGGACAGAGGAGTCCTCCTGATCTGATCCATCTCTGTCTGCTCAGAGAGCTGAGCTCAGCACTATGACACCATTAGTGACCAGGTGCTGCTGACCAGCCAGGCCAGGGAGTTTGTCTCTGTCACAATGCGGCTTAAGCCTTCAGGAAGACTAAAGACCATTGCTGCGTGTGGACAAAGATATGGACGCTTCTGTAGAAGCACTACTATTAGACAACACTCTGAACCTGCAAATATACCTTATTTCCATAGTCTATTATTTTGACCTAAAATGGCATATGATAACAAATTGGGGTGATGCTCCTCCAGTTCTCTCTATGTCTTCCTCCTTCTCTCGCTCTCTCAGCACACATGGCTTCCATCTCTTAGGCTGCGTTGGGACCCGGGCTCATCCTCAATGGGCCAACACAAACCTGCCCTGCACCCCAGCGTTTATTGTGCTTTCCCAGAATTCCAGCTTTACTTTAATTAGGTGATTGGCTGAGAGGGAGGGACGGCCTTCATTATTTCCTTCCTTTTGCAGAGGAACTGCCACACCCCAGTGACCCCCGACCTCAGCCTGCAGTGGTGCGACACACATTGCAGTAACCACTGGGTTCCTGTGGGCAGGTGTAAGGGGGGGGGGGGGGGGGGGGGGGGGGGGAATAGTCTTTACACACACATATCTGGCTACACACACAAACACACACTGCTATGGCTGTTGTGAGCAGACCTTCTGCAGAGGTGTTGGGCCAGCCAAACAGCAACTGAAACCAGACGTAGCCTGTAGGACTCTGAGGTGAGGGGTGGGGTGGTGGGGGGTCAGGAGGGGCTCTCACCTCCTACAGACACATCACACGTCATCAGTCAACACACCAGCAGGCCGGGAGGCAGACAGACAGGAGAGCCCTGGTCTGCAGAGTCAGACACACCCTCCCTTCACCTCCACTAGGCTAGACCTCCATCACTAATGTATCTGAGAACAGACTGAGACTCCCTGGATTCTTTAACAAACACTTGGCATGCATGGCCACTCAATGTAGTGTGGGAACCTGTGTGGCTGCAGTTACTGACTGAATTATAATGTCTTCCTCTTGTTCTAGAACATACCTGTGTGTTCTGATTCCAGATGCGTTGTTAACTGGCCTCCACAGAGCAGGTACCGACAGACTCAGCAGGGTGGCACTAACCCACACCAGCTCCTCAACAGAGAAGCCCAGGCCCATGTGGTCCCATAATATGGAGCACACACACAGACACACACACACGCACAGACACACACACACACATACAAGGTAAAGCAGGAGGCAGGGTGAATAAGGGCATTCTTCCTCAATGGTTCCTACAGTAGTGTAGCGCTGGCCTCTGCTCTCAGATCAGAGCTATCAGCTAATCTAGCCAGATGTGCACGCAGACAGAACTTTAATCCTACACAGGAAAAGGAGGTTTTCTACCGAGGATGACACATCTCAACACAGTGGAGCCTTTACCCTAATTTCCCTCCCCTCCCCCTTCTCCCTCCCCTCCTCTCTAACCCCCTGCTTATTATTTCCCAACAGCCTGGTCTGTGGGTAGGTTACCCATCCTGGAGTGCAGTCACACTGCTGAGAATCGCTCCAAGGCACTCTCATAAATAATAATGACTATAATTAATACAGAAACAATGAGCTCTGTTTCACATCTCCCTCTCCCCTCACTTTCCCTCTGACCTCTGAGTACTGACTACAGTACCTCCCTCTGACCTCTGAGTACTTACTACAGTACCTCCCTCTGACCTCTGAGTACTGACCACAGTACCTCCCACTGACCTCTGAGTACTGACTACAGTACCTCCCTCTGACCTCTGAGAACTGACTACAGTACCTCCCACTGACCTCTGAGTACTGACTACAGTACCTCCCTCTGACCTCTGAGAACTGACTACAGTACCTCCCACTGACCTCTGAGTACTGACTACAGTACCTCCCTCTCTTGCTGCCTGACCACTTTATTTATTTCACATCTGCTTCGGCACTGTTTCAGTCCTCTCAGCAAGTTTAATCTCACCAACATGATACCTGATGCCCACAACAACAACTGGGTGGGTTCATAGAGCAAGCCACAAGAAATTAAACTATTCTGAAATCCAATATTCAAACAAACAGATGTGAAAATGCAAGGCTAAACATGGTTTTAAAAAGTAGAAACACACTAAGCCAGATTGTTAGTTCATGGAAAAATGGAAACAATTATATTGGTGCTGCGAAAACAAACAACGCTGCGGTCTGTGTAAAATGGCAAAAATTTGCGTCAGGCATATCTGGGGAAGTGAAGCATGCTGGGTTTGAAACGGCGTGCGATTGTGATGGGCTGCACCACAAATCCGCCCCACGCTTTTTAAAAATGTCCTCCGCTTGAAAGTAACAGATGTCCAATAAAAACATGAGGCAG